CCAAGCCAGGACAGTTGTTACTGTTACATGGACCAAAATAAAGTTAAAGAAGTACTTGTCCAAAAAAAAGCCAGTAAAATTCATATACACTACTTTGGCAAGGTTGTCTCCTGAGGAAAAGATTTCTAAGCAGCAGCATACATTTAATTTGAACAAAATCTGCTAGAAGAACAGGTTAGCAATGTAGAAAATTTGTAGACATCTGTCAAATTTTGTTCTAGAAGACAATCCACACCAAAAGAGTCAGAAGCCCTTGTTTTTCTGGAACCCGTCTGGCTTTTTCTCCACTAGAAAGACAGTAAGTATATGTTTGGCAGGGGATTTTGTTAAAACTCCTGACATATATATGCTTTGGCTGAAGTGCCCTCAAACAATAATCAGTTTGATGAAGAACAATTCTAAAGAAAAATAAATAAAACTAAATACTCTAATAGTTATTCCTTGAGACAGTTGCATGAATAAGTGATGGAATATTGCTTAGCCATATCCTAAAAATCCCTTCCATTTATTTCTTCAGTTGAAAGAGGCTTTCTAACATCCATGTCTGGAACTAATTATGATAACCTTGACATTTAAATCAGAGATAAAGGATTGATAGCTTTTCTTTAAATGCTTCAATATGGCAGGAGGAATTATCTAATATTGATAAATAAAGCAACGTGACATCTGTGTTGAATTGCGAATTGACTTGTTGAGCTGCATAAGAAGGTAAAAAGAAAAGGCTTATTTTCAAGATGTGTAAAGCATTTGGAAAATCCAAGGTCAAAACTGAGATATGACTCAATGCAAAAGATTTTTGATCTTTCAATCTTAATGGAAATATCTTTCAATAAGAAATTGACAATTAAGGAATTGTAATTGTTAGAAATTTAATATTTTTTGGGGGGGGTACAAGTCAAAGTCCCAGAACTGAATTATATTAATAGCAAGCTTAAAATTTATAACTTAAGAAAAACAGATTAATAGTTTTTGGAGTAATGCCTGAATTATAGAGGGATGACTTGAGCGATCAATCAATTCAGTGTCTGCAACTGCAAAGTTCTAAGTAGAACTCTTAAAAGGGTCCTCTTTGGCCACCGAAAATGCGTCATAAATGATGAGTCCATAACAAACCAATTCTAGTTTGGTATATGTATATGTGTGTGTGTGTATATATATATGTAGAGAGAGAGAGTTCTTTATGGTTTATCAAGACTATAAGCAGATTCTGTATTTATTTTCTATAATTTGCTTCTTTTAATGACTTAACTACTTTGAAACTTTCCTAGTGAAAATTCTATTTTGGTTGTTTTTTAAAAATTTTCTCTGTAAAATAACAATGTTTCTTTAAAGAAGAAAAGCAAAAGATCGTACAGTTGGGTTCGTTTCCTATGGGTTTGGATGGGTATGAGGACATGTGCCTGTGCTGAACTTTGAAGGATGGGTAAGATCAGTGGCTGTTGCTGCCTTGAGTGCAGTGTGGATGCTGGCAGAGGGAGCATACTCCACTTTGGGTCTATGAGATCTTGCCTTTGAGGAAATAGGATTAAACATAACTTGCTCATTGAGCTAAGAAACCAAATCTTACTTATTAGAGTATAGCCATTGATGTTTTCACTTGAGAAAAGTGTTTCATACAAATTTATCCCATGCCAGTATCAGTTGGGGAGGTGGGGAGGTGGGACAAGATGCCTGGGAGCCTGTGGAACAGCAAATAATATAGGATAAAGCAGAAGGGAGGATGTGGCATTAGAGTGTAAAATGCTACGAGGCAACACAGATAGAAGGAAAATTTCTACTTTCTTTTTATTGTCACGCTGGTTGGGGTGCATTGTGGCATTTACAAAAGTTCTTGCAATGTATCAAATACATCATACTTGAATTCATCCCTCCATGTTCTTCTTTATCCCCCCCTCCACCCATTCCTGGAATAGTTTCAACAGGTCTCATTTTCCATTTACACACACGTGTACACAGTATTTGCACCATTTTCACCCTCCTACATCCTGTCTAAAAGGAGAATTTCTAAGCCTCTGTGAGGCACTGGATATTGAATAAGAGCTAATACAAATAGTAAAAAAAATCCCTTGAATTGAGCCCGTCTTCCTAGGACATAATCAGATTCCTTATTTATTTTCTGTAATGGATCAAATTTTTGCAACATTCCCTAGTAAAAATTCTATTCAGGTTGCTTTTTCTGTGTCTCTAAAATGACAAGAAACTCAGTTATCCTTGAAGGAACTGTTTGCTGAATCATATATGATAGAAAATTGGCAATATCAACAAGAATTGAATTGGATTGTTTAAGTTTGATATTTGGCCTAAAGTAATATAGATCACCTGCTTTGTGCCATATACACTGCTAGGTCCTGCAGTATTTTTGGAGCCTTTTGACACACTAGACAAGTTCTTTGATGACAACAATTTGCATATCTGTGTCCTCAGCCACTAATTTCATCCTTGGCACCTAATAATTAGCCCAGAAATGATAGGTAGGTAGGTAGGTATAGATAGATAGATAGATAGATAGATAGATAGATAGATAGATGGTAGACAAATGAAAGTCTGTTGTGATTTTCCTCATTGATCGGTTTGTCATTATCTTCCTTATGGTAGTAAGTCCTGTTCCATTGACAAATCCTCTGCCCCTTCAAAGACATGAAAAAATGAGTTTGGCTTTAGGAAAAATATCCTGAAGATTAATTTATCATTACTATTCTAGCATAGACTCTGAAGCATTTACCACTTGACCTTATATACTATCTTAATGTTAGGAGTCATTCATTGAGAAGAATTTGAAGGCCTGAGGAGGAATATTTCATTGAATGATATTTTTGCTTAATTCAAAAGGAAAGACTCAAATGTGACACAATTCTGCTCTTACTATTTGAACCTTTTTAGAAATAACCAGTTTCCAGTCTTTCCAGGATGTGCCAAAACATGTGTGAGAGTCATTTGCACCCTCCAGCCACAGGCACACACACCAAAAGCATGGTTCAAGGGTTGAAGAACATTTAGACTCATTTACAAATGATCTGACCTCAGAGTTCTGCACTAGTGAGCAAAAATTCTGCAAAGGTCCAGGTTCAAAAACCATTGCACAGTTCCAAGAAAAGGTTTTCTAGCTTCTGTTTCTTATGCCATTCAACAAGATTTAGAAGGAAATGCAGCCAAATGTAATGGTCGTTACCTGATGAAAAGCAGACATCCTTTGTATTATCCTCAAACTGGACTGAACAGGACTAAATGCAATTAGAAGACTCCACTGAGGCCAAGATGGTTGAGGAAAACAAATGGATAGAAAATATGAGCTTATCATGTTAGGTAACCTATGTATTTCAAAGTGGCGTTATAGGGAAAGCGTTAGAGAAATTTATGGTATCATGAAATGCATATTAGGCCCATCAGCTCAGGGTCATACTAAGTCAATATTTTATAGGAGGTGTGGAAAATTTTTATGTCGGTTAGCTCCAAGAAAGATGAAGAAATTCTTTAAGCTCAGTATGAGGACTACTAATATTCTACCACATTTAATCTTTAAAATGACATTTTTTTCCTAAAAAGAAAATTCATGCCATCTGTGTCGAGTCCATTACAGTTGTGACATATTATACTTCTCATTTTTGTCTTCAAAATTAAAAATTCTTTGCATATTCTTGTTGTAAATTCAGGAATTGTGCTGATTTCGAACTGTGAGTAATTTCTTTATTAAATGAAGTACTAATCATATCCTTTCAATTAAAATTAAAATAGACATTACTGTTTAAGAGAAGGATGTTTTTGCTTTTCCTAATTTCAAGCAGGCAAATAATTTGCCTGTATTTTAACGAAGAAAGTACAAAACTTATTGTGATAAGAATTTGTTTCTGAAAAGCTGTGTTCTTCTCTGCACACCCCTCGTGGAATGATGGTACAATTCAGAGATTTAAGCAGGGCCTTAGAATTCACTGCCTGTGCAGAAGCTTCACCTTCAGGCCAGACCTATAGTCCTTGTAGGGAAATGATTTATGTATTGTAATAAATGTTACTTCTCAATCTGTTTGCTTGTTCAATGGTTGAGGACCCAAAAGAAAAGGTCTATCTCAAATTAGGACTGGCATGTATTATCTGTCAACTTTATATAGTACTGTAAAAGTCATTCAGCTGACAGTAATATTAGCAGAATGTTTTATAGATTTTGTGCTGTGTGAAGCTTTGTATGGGTGAGAGAGTCTGTGGGGCTCTGTGGTTCGGGATACAGTTGCGTGTAGATGAGTCATTTCTCTACTTCTCGGTAAATGAACATCTGGCTCACATATTGATTCCATGTGTGAAAATGAGATCAGCCCATATAATGACCAGAATCAATCAGGCTTCAGCCAAGGAGTAACGTACACTGGTCTTGATTTGTTAGACAACTAGAATTGGCAGCACCTTGCATAATTTGGCACCAATTGACAAAGATTAGGCTGCTTGGGGGCCATGGATAGTTATTAATTTGAAACCCCCCTTAAATATTTTGCAGAGTAGAATCAGCTGTAACTTATTTGTCCCAGCCTCCTTCTTTTCATACTAGCTTTAATTGTTTTAGACAAACAAGTGAGCTTGTGGCCTGTTCACTTTACACAGGAAGACATGAATTCTTTGATCCATACAATATTCTTTAGCTCAACCTTGGAGCTATTTACTAAGGAGATTTATTTGCAGACAGACAGTAGAACAGTTCTTTGTGAATAGAAATGAGTACAGCTTCTACAGGTTTTCAGCTCAAGTTTCTGCTACTTACTGTAAAGGGTGGAAAATGAAACATCTTTATTTTTAACAAGAATTTTTCTTTTTCCTATATATATGACAACTGAAAATGAACTAGGCTTTTGACCTGTTTTCCCCTCACTCTTTACATTCATTACAGTAGAGATTGACTCAAAAACCATTTCATTTTAATACTTTGCATAAGCATAAAAAAATTTGTGAGAATTTAAGAACAGGACAGATGTTCATTGTAAACATTGTACAAATGTGTCTCATTCCTTAATTTCCAGGTACAAAAACAACTTACCTATGCTGTATGAAAAGCAGGTATTTGAAAAATAGCAATAGACATAATTATGAAATATACTGCTAAAATTTGATTATTGTTGCCTAAATAGTTTTAAAGATGTACACTCATTTACTTTGAATTTAGGTAATCATATTTAGGTAAGTATCTAAACTAATATCTAATTTTCTCCCCATTAAATGAGTTATTTGAACAGTCTGTCTAATGACCAGGCAATGTAATAGTAACAATAACAAGACAGTTCCTAAAATATGTCTTTATAATAATATTTAAGATATGAATTCCATTAAGACTTTCATTTCTGCTTAGTACAGAAAAGAAAATATGAGTTTGATTCACAAAATCAGTTCCAGAAATAATTCTTTATCTTAAATTATGCTTGACAATGACTAATTCTTCTATATTCATCTCAGAACTTAATTTTCAAGGCCTCTTGATAACCAGCAAATGTGAAGTCATCCTTTTATCCCCTACATGTTTTTTACTCCATGTATTTTCCATGTATAAGTTTGCAAAAATACAATGAAATTTTAGTTCTTTGAGGAAAATCTTTCAGTATCTTCTTGTTTTTACCCCCAGTCACCACAGTTATGTTATTTTTCCTTTATATTTCTTTTGGATAATTTTATGAATAGCTTTGAGAAAACCTAAGAGTGACATCACATAAATATTTGTAATTCATGAATAAGACAAACTATTTCCACTGAAGAAAAAAACACAAGTATTGGCTCCTAAAGAAAGCATGACTAATATTTTATTTTCTAAAACATATATATTTAAGTTGTAAATTAACATTGACAGATTTTCAGGGGCATTATAATTTTGAAGTTTTTCCCTTCTAACTATATACAACTTTCTAAACTAATAAATGAAACTTTTAGAAGAAAGCATTTTCAAACAATAAACACACTTTTAACATTTTTAATCGGGAAGCTTTTAAGTCTAAACAGGCATTCAGTCTGTAAGTTCTACTTTTTCAGAATCTTTCAAATTGGCTCCAGAAGGCTTAAAATCCTTCTCTGATAAACACAGTTCATGAAGTTTTGCCAAATTGCTTTACAAGATCACTTTGTAAGAATTATGACTGAAGACATTGGAACCAAATACATACCTGTGGTGGGTAGCTTATTTGTTATTTGTAAAAATTAAATGGTTTAGGAGAAATCTTAAAGAAAAAAATGCTACATATGTAGATAAGAAAGGAATAGGGTGAAGGACTTTATAATTTCAGGCCATTATATGACACAGTCACCTGTAACACCTGTTATAGAAGATACACTATTGAGGTGTCACACACAATTGTCACTGTAGAAAAATGGCGAAGTGTGTGGTTGACTTACATATTAAAACAATTTCAGCACACATGGGGTTTCCTGCCTTTTATGACTAGCCCCAGGTAAGAATTCTTGCATATTAAAAATATTACCACCATGATTTCAAAGTGAGGCCAAGTTGCGTTACTGGAATGTGTGATAATTTACCATCCTGTCTACACTATAAATGAAACCATGTTAACAGCAACCATACTTAAACATGGTTTTGGTTATATTTCAAACATAGTGTGGACAGCTTTATATTTCATAAGACACTTCTTTGTCTTTGTGTATATTGGTTAATTTGGTATGATTCTGTCATTTAAGTCATTCATAGATGCTAATTGATTATGACAATAACATTCAGAGCATTTTACAGATTCCCCCCCAAAAGACTGTCTTTTATTTCACTTTTATTTATATAAGAATGTTTGTTTAATATGGTAAGACATAGTTTTGTGAGAATAACAGATGATGTGGCTCCCTGCATAGGTATGAAGACATACATTCTGTGCCTTATAAAAATGCCTAACTAAGCTCCTCGCATGACTGTTTTGCATTAAAACAAAAACTTCATCCTATGGTGGTCCTGTAGTCAGATATTTTCTTATATCTGAATGAAACTTCACACTTTGAGCTCATTTTTGCTTTATTTAATTTCAGATGTAATTTAGTATATTTTAACTAGCTAGTTACAGAATGAATCCCTATTGTCAGAGGTCATGCATTTTTGAAAGCAACAGTCTTAAGGGAATTTCAGATTAAATGTGCCTAACTGATTATAATTTCATGGTAGACAACTCAATGCTATCAGTATAACTCAAAACCATACATTTCCCTTAACAAATTTTTGAATCTGACTAGTTTAACGTTTTTTTAAAAATATACTTAAAGTTAATTCTCAGTTGGATTCTTTTGATTATATGCATGAGAACGATGTATTACCTTAATAAAAATGTTCTTAAGTTCTAATTATGTGAGTCTTGAATACTCTGAACTAATCTGGATTTACTATTTTAAGGACACCTCTTCACTCTTCAACCTACTTATCATTCTATATTTGATTTAAAAAAAGAATTGTTGACAATGGTTTTTATTAGTAATCCTCCAAACACTCTAGAGTTTTCAGAATCATTTTACTTACATCAGACTCCCATTGTCCTTGGATATGTGAACCTTCTTCCTTCAAGACGAGTTAAATACGGACTAAATGTGTAATAGTCTAGGTAAGAGGTAATATAGTTCTGAAGTGGAAAAACATCCTAGTGAGTTGTATCCTTTGGATTTAGTGACCAATGAGATAACAGCATGAAGTGAGCAGAGTTTGGGGAGTGATAAAAAGAAGACAAGCAAGTTATGTCGTCTGAGCTAACAAACACAGGACCATGAGAAAGTTGGATGGGAAATATGTAGATTTCAGTTAGAAAGTGTTATAAAACACTCATTCATGGATTCTACACATGTCCTTGAGAAAGATATGTAAGTTATTGTAATAATGGTGCATATTATCATCCACAGTCACAATGATACCAAATAAGATAACATGAATTGTGATTTTATAATAAGTTTGTATTTCAAATTATAGCATTGCCATATTTTTCAACCCAGAAATAATTTCAAAATTAATCAAGATGATGATAAAATATGTATTGCATATAGATTTGCATCTTTGTTGATAGATGAACAATTTTGCCTCTTTCAAAGTTGTGCTTAATTTTTTATTTTGTCATTGTCAATTTTATTGTTTATAGAGCTAAGGAGCCTCAAGAAATCTGACCTAGCCATTCACTTTTCAAATAAAACAATCTAGATATAAATTTTGTTTCAAAGCTTATGTTTTAAGATAATCTATAGTTTGTGATATTTCAGGATATTTAAGTTTGTTCCATTGTCCTTATCTTTCTGTAGTGTCAGTAATTCTGAATGGGGCTTTTTAAGTGTAGAAAATAAATCAAAAGACCCTTGTCGACATCTTTGATTTTAGTGCTTTTTTGCCTTTTTTTTAGATGACAACTTTTAAACAGGTAACACTGATTAATTATTGAATTGTGCAGTCATTCACCATTTGTATGGTATCTTTGAGTGGCATTCTTAGAATGTTTTACAAACAGGAAAAGAGAAACAGAGAGATGCCATCAGGTAGGGCTTATCATTTTCTTGTGCAGCAATGAAGTCAGATTCCTCCTGGATATTTATATAGAAGATTAATTATGAAAATAAATAATCCAAAATCCTTTGTTTATTACCATGTTAGATGATATGACCTTTGAAAAATGTGTATGCATGTACACATGTGAGTATAAGTATTCCAAGATTAATTGATTAATTAACTCAAGAAACATCATACAAACTGTCAGAGACAGTGTCCCTAGAAAACTAAAACTCAAGAAACATAGAACTGTCAGAAACAGTTAATTAATCTTGGAATACTTATTGTCATGTGTACATGCATACACATTTTTCAAAAGTCCTATTTGTTGATCATCTATTGTAGGTCAAATACTGTTAATTTAATTTATGTGTTTTGTTTGAAGTTTGGATTTTGGTGCTTGTATGGATTCCATATAACCAATGGCATCACCCTTCACGTATTTTGGCACCTACACCCTTGTAAATATCTATATTCCTTTGCTTGTTGTGTCTCACCTCATAGCCTATGCATTTCCAGGGTCTTGCATCAAAGAGATGCAAAGAGGAAAGTTGATCATTAGAAGTAATTAGCCTCTTGTTATTCTATTTTAAGAAGTTCAGGCTTATTAGTGCTCATCTTCCAAGGTTTTATTTTCTATTTTCAGCTGCTACGTTCTATTCTTTGTTCGTTTTCTCCTGAAGCCTAAGAAAACCCAGAGTGACTCACTGCTCTCATAGCTGTGTTATGCTCTGACAAGGAAAGGAATGGGCCACAATCTGCATCGTATCATAAGGAGTGATTTTTGTTTTCCAGATAATTCCATTCATAGCTGTAGAGATAGATGTTTCCCACACAGTTAAGTGCACGATGACTCTTATAATACCAAGAAGGTAGATTTGGTCAACTTTGTTTTTTAGTGAACCATGCAAAATTTCAAACAGGAAATGTCAAGAGTGTTTTTTTCTTTTCTTTCTTTTTATTTTTTTTGTGGTACTGGGGCTTGAACTCAGGGCCTTCACCTTGAGCCATTCCACCAGCCCTGTTTTGTGCAGAATTTTTCAAGATAGGGTCTCGCAATATTTTTAGAAGCTTATTCTGCTGGCAGTGAGGAAGACGGACTGAAATGGACAGCAATTAGTGACCAGATATTAAGAGGCCAGTTAGAAGACCTGAATTAGGGCAATGGACAAGATTTGACAAGGGACGGGACTTTGGTTTCAGAGAAATTTAGGAGGTTATATTACCTAGAGTTATTGAAGATTATATACATTATAAAATAACAAAAAGGAGAATGACTTCCCATTTTGGTTCTGGCCAGCAGTCTGAAAAGTTTTGCTGTTTATGAAGATAGAGAAATAAGAATTGGCAGATGTTTTTTGTGGCAGGGGACTAGGGGATTCAGATTGGTGATATAATTCTGAGTGAAAACTGAATTTCACATTTTTGAGATCCAAGCTTTAATAATGTACACAGGTGAAAATGTGGCTCCTGGAGATGTTTTCGTATAGCTTATAAAGATGTGGAAATTAGGAGTTTTAAAGTCAAGTTGAAAATGGGACATAGATGAAATTTCTCAGTGTTTGTT